ATCCTGACCTATTAGACACATTTGAGTGCATGGACATCTAGTTCTTGAAAATTAATAATTGTAGTTGCTTATGAGTAATTTATTTAAATGAGTCAAATCTAAACCCAACCAAGCAACTATGAACACTATTTCCTAGACTTATCACTTTGAGCAAAAAAACAAAAGTTATTTAACAGCAACTTCAAAAATAAGTTGGTGTCAAAGGTAAACAAAGTCAAATCACTCTACCTAATTGTATCACTGAGTATGCAGGTATAGTGAAAATGATCGCCATTAAACTCTAAGTGCATCCTACTTTTGCTCAACCGTCTCTATTGTTTTTCCCTTTTTGAAATAAGTTACTAGGAGGTAAAAGATTTAATTGAAGATTAGTTTTTAGAATATTTCCAATAAACAAGAACTTTGCATCTGTTTCACATAGACGTTATACTGGATATGTAATTTTGTATGTAATATGTAATTTGCCAGTGGAGGACATTTCTTCATTCTTTAATACCCTTACTTTGGATGACTCCTTTGATTTCCACTAAGTTAGCCTAATGATAGTAATAACACTAATCCATAATGAAATTCCATGTCACACTTCTTAGTACATCACAGGCTATCATACCTATTGTCTAGACTTTCATGACTATAATCTCATTAATACTTATAACAATCCTTGGATTAGAGGTTTAGCTCAAGCAGTAGAGTGCCGCTTTACAAGTGCAAAGCACTGAGTTCAAACCTCATCCCATGAAAACAATGATAAAAATAAAATTTATAACAATCCTGAAGGAAATTATTAGCATTACTTAAAACATACTTAAGATCATATAACAGGTTCAGAAAGAGCATCTACTCTCAGATTTGAAACGCTGGGAAACCAGTGAAGGGTGATAGAGTTTCTTCTACTACTGCTTCCATAACCTGGCCCTAATAACCACTTTTCCATTTATTTCTCCTGGAATTCCTTTGGTGTTTATGTAAGGGTTAGATTATTTAGCATTTGAAGACTAGTTTGAGTTGCTCTGTAATGAACTTTCTGTGCTTTCTCTCTTAAATTAGATTTTAAACTCCTCAAAGGTAAATGTCTTTTGCGCCAGCATTTTAGCACACTGTAGATGACTCTGGTACAAAATCTACTTGGAAAATGACATTTCTTTGTCCTGTGCAAATCCAGATCCTTTTCTATTAGACCTTTTGGCCTCTGCTTCCTATTATATTTTTTACTTCAGTTTTAGGTAGGTTTTGGCTCTTTGCTCCTGCTCACAGATCCCCAGGTCAGTTAATACCCTTACCTGTTCATCTGCTATGGTTCTTCACCCAGCCACTGATGCTTGGCTTGTTCCAGTGTACTTCATCTGCCTGTGATCATACTCACCTTGAGCAGTTGGGCTTTATGCCTGGTCCTGCCTTCATGCTAAACTGATGACACAACTAACTGCCTTTCCTCGAGGCAAAATCATGCCAGAATTTTTTTTTTTCCTATTTGGGCAACGTTCATTTATGCCATGTGCATTGGCACAACATATTTAGGAGCAGAGGGAAAAAGGTAACATTTTGGTAAATGATCTCTGCTTACAGAAATTTCAAATTCCTTTCTACTATGAGCTCCTTAGCTAGTCATGGTTTCTTATTTTCTTGTATTTCCACTAAACAGTTCCAGTTTTCTTGCACTTTCCCTATGAAATTGAGAAAAGGAAATATGTCAGCTTCATTTTTTGTAACAGAATGTAGATTTGTGAATAGATTGTTGATTCAGTTGATATTTATTTGGTAAAGCTATAGATGTTCATGGGGGAAGACAGGTGTTCTAAGAAAACATCTTAACAGGAAAATTAAAAGAATTTATTAGAATTATCACAGGAAGCTGGGTGCCAATGACTCATACCTATAATCCTAGCTAATTGGGAGGCTGAGATCTGGAGGATCTGTGGTTCCAGGCCAGCCCAAAAATGGGGAGGGGGAGTTGTTTGCATGACTATATCTCAATGGCAAAAAGCTGGGCATGATGGCATACACCTGTCATCTCAGCAGTGGGAAGTGTAAAATAGAACTGTGGTCTAAAATGGCTTGGGTAGAAAGTGAAACCCTATTTTCAAAAATAACCAGAGCAAAAAAGGGCTGGAGGCATGGCTCAAGCAATAGAGTGCCTTCCTAAGCAAGAATGAATCCCTGAGTTCAAACCCTAGTACCACCAATAAATAAATAAATAAATAAATAAATAAATAGAATCACAGATGTCATTTTTGTTTTACCTATTATGTGCCCAGAGCAGGTCTCCACCATCCAGAGGTAAAATGGTTGATACAATCTAACAAACTGAAAGCAAATTTGAGTTGTACTGAAATGAGTTAATTCTAATTCCCCACTGATTACAGTAGGAAAGAACATCTGTCCAGTTAACTACTTGATTAGTATTGGAAGTTCTTTGTCATACTAGATAAGAGAAGAGTAGCATTATGCTAAATCTGTCTAGATGTCTGAGTATATGCTCAGTTAGCTAGCAGAAATAAAGTGTGGAAAATTGTAAAACTGAAATTGCATTGAAACTTACATTCGATATCAGTTTAGAACTGACATATCTGCAGAAAATTCTCTTAAAATAGTCTCTCAGCTGAGATTATGCTTTTTCAGTTTGGGGTTCTTGTTACAACGTGTTGGATAGGAGCAGAACTATAGCTAATTCTTAGGCATAAGTGTTACTAATCAGCTGGCTGGCATCCTTTTGCTTTACCCAGATAGGAATTGTGGTAAGTGAGGAGCTGCATTTCCAGTGCTAGAAATCTCTAACACTTAGGGACTGTACTGTCAGACCCAGAGACTTGTAGCTTCAAACCCTAAGAGCTAGGGGCCTATTGCTTCAGGCTTTAGAAACCAGAAACTTGTGCCTTTAGGCACTCAGATTGGAGGCTTATTGCTTTGGGCTTTAACCACCAGTGGCCCTGGCACTTGGCAGCTATTGTAATCCTTGTCTACTAATAGTCATGGTACACAGCAGCAAGCAGTCACAGGCCTCAGGCGGTGGAACCCTTAGCCTTACAGTAGCTAGTGTTACAGCTCTCAGGCTGAGTTTATCTGAGACCCTTGGCCATTAAGTCTTGGAAGCTCTCTGAACTCTTCCAGCAACCAGTGCCTGAAGTTTCTGGGCTTCGGGTTTTTACAGTCCTTTAGAGCCCTCCTTGTCTCTGTTGCCTCTGCTCCTCATCATTTCCGTCCTGGCTGCTCTCTAGAACTCTTTAGCTGCCCTCTCTTCACTACTGACACTGTGCAGCTGCTGCCACCTCTGCTGCTGCTGCCGTCACTTCTGTCACTGCTGCTACTTCTGCTCAGTCCACTCTACTAATGATTTCGATCAAAAGAGGCGAAAACAACAAAAAAATGGTGGCTCACACCTGCAATCCTAGCTACTCAGGAGGCAGAGATCTGGAGGATCGAAGTTCGAAGCCAGCCCCTGTCTCGAGAATACCTAATAAAAAAGGACCAGTGGAGTGGCTCAAGGTGTAGGCCCTGAGTTCAAACTCCAGTACCGCAAGAAAAACCCCAAACAAAATAAACAACAAAAACAAAAAAAACCCAAAAACACTGGAGAGAAATCTTTTATTAGGCCTAATGTTGTAACACCAGGGCACAGCAGGGTGTCCCCCAGCTGACTTAAAAAGTGTGCTAAACAACCTTTTTAGATAGACAGAAAGGGGGTGTGCCAAGGTTATGTGCACCAATCACAACAGACCACCATGAAGAACTGCATTTACACGGGTTATGGCACAGTCCCTCACGAAAATGAAAAACTGAGTTTGCACCAATCACAGGGTCTTCTACTGAGTCACCATGGATGCGCTCCCCCTCTGGCCTGGGTGAAAATGACTGCAGGGTCAGATAGAGTTGGGCTTGTCCTGCTTAGATCGCTGCTTTCCAAGGCCAGTGCAGTGTGTCTTCAGCCTTGGTTGTAGTGGTCCTTTGCACCTGGGCGAGTCCTCAGAGTAATCACTCTTACTGTAAATTGTTCAAATAGCTGGCAGTCTGGCTGACTGCTTGGCTAATAGTTCTTTACTCAAGGCAGCCAGAGCACCAAGGAAGGGTCTGTCAGCTATCAGTTAGGAAGTCAAATCACCTCAGCCTTTACATCTTGTCTTATTTAAATAAAAAATATACATTAATGGGGGGTGTTTACAATAAAGACTTATTATTAACAGTGAATTTAGCAGTATTCAACAGTGCTTTAACAATGCTCACTTAATTCCTTCCCCAGTGGTCCAGAGAAAGTTGAGTCCCTCTAATCTGTCTCGTAAGAACTCAGTGTTCTCTAATAAATACTAAGAATACTAGAATACTAATAGTTGTATCTTTCACTACATGGGAACCTTTCCAAATAAAGTAGGAAATTTTGATATGTCTGGTTGACCATGGTCATGGTATTGCTTTACCCATTTTACAAACCTGAAAACGTTTTATAACGTTGCAATTTTTTTTTATCAAGTGATGAGTTCTCTAGACACCATACTGCTGACTCTTTTCTTTAGTCATACTCCCATCTGTTCTCGTGCATCACTTAAGGCCCCAATGCTAGTTCCCAAAACATATCAGAAAATGGTTGAAATCACCAAAACAGGCATGTCATTGGTAGCTCCTAACACACGTGGAGATTTTTGTAAGTGAGCAGATCAGGGCCTAGGGGGACACTGTAAGTTTGCTCTAGGTATTTCTAGTTCCAGGGAACTATGTGCTAATAGTGTCACTGTGTTTTCTTGTCCAATTTCTGCCTTTGTAGGTCACTCGACCAGGTAGTAATATCCGGAGCTTTTTGCTGCACCACTCTAAAAACCACAGTGTCCCACTTGGTCGCAACTGTGGGTCTCGGAGACAATGCACCCTTCTCAGCCGAACCTTCTCAGGATGGAGGCGCTGCCCTTGAGGCGGTGCGCGCGCACGCACCGGGTTCAGAGGCCGCTTGGACTCCACGCAGACTCCTGCGCTGCCTTCCCCCGTAGCCAAGGCCACCTCCCGCAGTGCCCGCCATGTCGTGTTACAGCAGGTGCAAGTTCAAGACCGGGGACCTGGTGTTTGCCAAACTAAAGGGCTGTACTCACTGGCCAGCCAGGATAGAGCAAATGGCCGAATCCAATCGGTACCAGGTGTTTTTCTTTGGCACCCACGAGACGGCCTTCCTGGGTCCCAAATATCTCTTCCCCTACAAGGAGTCCAAGGAGAAATTCGGCAAGCCCCTTAAGAGGAGAGGCTTCAACGAGGGTTTGTGGGAGATTGAGAACAACCCGATGCTCAATGCCTACGACCACCAGGGCCAGGAGGAGGAGAAGAACCGCGCCCACCCGTCCAGTGCACAGCCAGAGGAGGAGGACGAGGAGCAGGCAGAGGACGAGGCCCAGCTGTTGGTGGAGGAGCCCGCCGAAAAGGAGGATAAGGAGCTGTTCATGAGGGACGCGGGGGACCCACAGGAGGACTCCCCCAAACGGCTCAAGGAGGCCGTCCCCGATGGCGATGGCCATGGCTATGGCGAGGAGCAGGCAGAGGACTGTGAACGTGAGAGGCCTCGCCTCGTGGAGTGCGGTGCCACGGTGGTGCCCAGCCTCGAACAGGAGCTAGGGTGGGAGGAAGAAGAGGCCCCCTCGATTCTCCCCAAACCCAGGCAGCGGAGATGGTGATGGCTGTATCACGGTGTTTCAAGAAGAGCCCTCCCCCCTTTCCTGGCGCAGCCTATTACCGGAGAAAACTGCCATAGCTGAGAACTAGAGCTCCCTATCTCCCCCAATCCGACCCCCTGCCTTTTTCTACTCACTTTCCCTCCCCAACCCTGGCCCATGGGGCATGGGGCAGACCACCTGGATGCAGCAGACCACCTGGCTCTCACCTCCCTCATACTATACCCCTGGGACCTGAGTCAAGTCCCTGCCTTCTGGGAAGAGATGCGGCCACTCTCTCTGCTCCTCCCTGCCTGGAGCTGTTTCCAGCACTTGTGTTGAGGCCTGAAGAGACTTTCCACCTACTGACACCACTCTCCCCCCCTCCCCCTCAAGCTTTCTGGACCTCTGCCTTGGACGCAGAGAGAGGAGTGAAAGAGGTGCAGGATGGAGAGCAGTGGTGACTTCCAGAGACTTGGGAGGGGTGATCTTCAAACTCTGGTGGTGGGGATGGATGGGGGGAGGGGTATGAAGACAATATTTAACTGAGCTGTTGTCTCCTCCTCCCATACCCGTTCTGACACATTCTGGGAAACTGGAAGCAACTAATAGGGGAGAACCTCTGTGAATCCCTTCCAGGAAGTTCTAGGAGTTGTCCAGTTTTTTTATTTTTTTTATTTTTTCACTGAGACATTTGGAGCTCCCTGTTTATGGCACCTGAAGGCTCGATTGCCTAGCTTCTTTGGTTAGGGTTGTGAGAAATAATGACTCCCATTCAGATCTCTGGGATCACTGATGTGATCACTGATTCCCTGGGGAAATCCCTGGCTGCCTGTTTCCATCTTCCCCACAGTCCATGGTCACGTTACAGTCATCACTTGAGCTGAAAAGAAAGTGTTTAGGAACACTTTCTTTAAAAAGGAAATTTTTTAAAATGAAGAACTAGCTTTGGGTGTACCTCTATTTTGCTCCCACCTTTCCTGTTGCTACCACCATTGATGAGATGAACTGGGAAATCCTTTTCCTTTTGAGGTTTGATGGCTTTCTTTTTCAAGTTAAATATTTGGTGTTCCTTGCAGTGTTACATTCCTTCCACATCCCCCCACCTGGTCCTCTTTGTTATCACCAGTTCTAATATGTAATCTACTGAGAAGACAGGAATAAGCAGTCCCTCTCAATGCCTTCCTCATGGTCTTTCTAAGCCTTTCTTCATCTTTTGACTCTTTCATGCCTGCTCCTCTTTCTTGGGCTCTGATGAAAAATTGTTGACGGTAGCTTTGGAAGTTTACATCTGAGAACTGTAGGCCAATTCAGTTCTAGGAAATAAAAGCTGTTGATTAATACAAATCTTCTCAGGCCTATTCCTTTAGTTTCTGAAGAACTGGTTCTTAAATACAGTGCTTCTTTTGTTTTCTGTGTTAGAAGGGACTACATAAAGCTATCTTTTAGAATCACCCTTGAGAAACCTTAGTTATCTTAAGGTCTCTACCCTTCACTCCATCTTTAATAGTCACTACCACTGTTTCAAATGAATGGACATAAGCTTATTTAAAGTGTTTGGAAGGTGAGAAACTAGGACATTAGCTGACTTTCTTAAATGCTAAATGCTTTGCCAAACAACTGATTTGGAGAAGAGTAAGGGTAAGAGGATTTGTTGGTCTTTCTCTTTCTCTCTTTTTTTTTTAAACTTTTTCAAATAACACTAATTCCACCAACATTTTTTCATAAAAATAAGAAAGTTGCTTTATTAGACTCACCTTTTAAGATATGTGATGTCTGTAGAATATTCTGTATCTTTCCAATGGGTTTGTGCAAATATTTGGGAATATTTAATACATTAATCATGTTGGAGTCCCAAACTCTGTATGCCGTGTTGACAAAGCTTCAGTTAAGGGATCACTACTGAAGTTTCAGACCAGTAAACTGGCTCCTCATAGATCATACTAAGCCATCATTAACCACTAGGGTGGCAACTGAAGGAAATCCTATTTCAATCCTTGTTTTAAAGAATTCTACTGATTGTAAGGTATGTAAGTCAGATGATTCTTGTCCTTCAATTACTGCTATTGCAATAATATTAATACTAGAAATTACTATTCATTAAATGTCTAGTATGTGCCCTGAAGAATGGCCTCATTCAATTTTTATAATAATCAGGCAAGATAGGTATTGGTACTCAAATTTCCACTGAAAGCAGCTCTGGTTCAAAGAGGTTAAGTGGCTTTTCTTGCATTCTATAGAACACTCAGGATTTTTTACCCATCCAAAACTGAAGCTCGTTCTCCTGAATTGCACATTCAAAGAACACTAATTATTAATTCATTAGTAAAGTTGCATTTTTATATTAATAACAAATAATCATGATGATAGCTTAATACTGAGTCTCTGAAGTGAGGCAGATGCTATGCTACTTTTTATACCTAAGTCTTTATTAATGTAACCACCCAATTGAGTAATTACTATTATCTCTATTTTAAAGTTGAAGGACTTGAGATTCAGAGATAGTAGATGATTTTCCCAAGGTCATGCAACTAGTAAATGGCAAACCAAGATTCAGAAGCAGGTCTTTCTCATTCTAAATCAGAGGTGCTTTGTTCCATTATATTTTATTGCTTCCCCTTAAATAAAACTTTCTATTGGATAAGATGGGAGATTTTATTCTCTTCTATTTGAAGTGAACATTTAAGAAATTTGTAAGGTAAGGGATATATTAACAAACATTGCTTGTGGGTGTGTTGGAAAACTCATTTGGGCACCTGAAAATTGTTTTGTGTTTAAATGACTTGGTAAAATGATGAAGACAACTGCATGTTCAATAGTTTGCAAGATGCATGTGACTCCAGGATGTTTGAGTATGGATTGCTATATTTGCCACAGGCAGGCATATGATATAAGATTTTTATGGAGGCACATCTTCTGAAATGATTCAATAACCTGAAAGAAAATGAAATTACAACCATTTGAGTCCTTCTTTCTGTATCAGTCCTTCTTTTTGTGTTTCAAACATTGGGATTGAAAAACGTTCATTTAGAGGTGGTACACAAATTTGCCTTCTTGGAAACTATAATATTGTAGTGAAAATGGTAATGCAACTAGTAGTACATTGAAAGAATGATACACCTGGTTACTGAACCTGATTGCAACTGATTAAAAATAAGGAAAAAAAAAACTGTACTCTCAACTCCCTTTCCTGAGCAATAGGCCACATTTACGTGCTCTGGTATCCAAGAGATGTTTTTGTGTGTACTGAAGAAGAAGCTGTTTAAACTTCTCAATAATTGTGGTGCTTTTTTTTTGTTTTCCTCTGAACAATGTATGCCTCAGTGACAAAATTACTGATCAATGATTACTTACCTTGCTGAACAAAGCAGTGCCACTTGACCTTTTGCTGGAGCTGTGTTGTTGCTAGTCAAATGTGCTCATGAATGTTCTGAGGATCTTGTTTAAGCGTTATGTGTAAATGTGTGCTTTTCACATTGTCAGGGCTTTGCAGACACATTTAGCACACTGTTTTCTGTATGGCTTTCAAAGTATTTGATATTTCACACAAACATCACATTGGCAAAAGACTAAGATGCCATTCACGGTTGCAAATTTTGTTATTTTCTTTTAGTCAGGATATAGTTTTTACCTGCTCTGCAAATTTTTTTTAAAGATGCAGACTTCTCTTTATACCTCATACTTCCATTTTACTTTTCTGAAAAATATAGGAGATCTTCAGGCACACAAAAGAAATTTGGAGGCTTCTTAAAAATCTAAACATAGACCTGCCATTTGATCCAGTAGTACCACCTTGGGGATATACCCAAAGGAATGGGATATAGATTACTCCAGAGGTACTTGTACACCCATGTTTATTGCAGCACTATTCACAATAGCCAAGTTATGAAAACAGCTAAGATGCTCCACTACTGACAAATGGATTAAGAAAATGTGGTATTTATACACAACGGAATTTTACACAGCCAAAAAGAAGAATGAAATCTTATCATTCGCAAGTAAATGGATGGAACTGGAGAACATCATTCTGAGTGAGGTTAACCAGGCCCAGAAGACCAAAAATCATATGTTCTCCCTCATATGCGGATTTTAGATCAAGGGCAAACACAACAAGGGGATAGGACTTTGATTACATGATAAGGCAAGTGCACACAAGGGAGGTATGAGGATAGGTAGGTAACACCCCTCCCCACAAAAAAGGTAGTATTTGATGTCTTCAATGCAAAGGAACTAATGCAGAAACTTTAAAGCAACAGAGGCTAATAGGAGAAGGGGACTGGGAACTAGAAAAAAGGTTAGTTTGAGAAGAATCAATTTAGGAAGTAACACATATGTACATGGAAGCAAAACTAGGGATCTCCCTCTATAGCTATCCTTACCTCAACTAGCAAAAACCCCTGGTCCTCCTTATTAATGTTTATATGCCCTCTTCAACAAAATTAGAGATAAGGGCAAAACAGTATCTGCTTGGAAGCAAGGGATTGGGGAAAAGGGAGGGGGTGGAGGGAATGGGGGAGTAATGACCCAATCATTGTATGCACATATGAATAAAGGAAATAAAAAAAAAACATTAAAAAAAAGGGAGTCTACTGTTCACTTCATTGTCTACACTCTTGTCAAAGAAGTTTCTGCTGCACGTACTGGTGTAGCTACCTGTATTTAGAAAGAACTGCCTCCCTCTTCCCATCCTGGCCAGCCACTCAAGGTAAGAGCCACCATTTGTTCCTGTACACTTTATGCTCACGCTGACTATTCTTTAATGTTCTGTATTTTGTTTGCTCTTCCTCTATGCTGGAAGAGGAAGAAAATGTGTTTCATTATACTTTATCCCCCACTTCAAAAACATGTCACAATAAGCATACAGTAGTTACTTTCTAAATACTTACAAGTCTGCTGTCAAATACTCTTGTAATAACAGTGTTGGAATAAAAGCCCTCATGTGATATTGAATACGTTCTGCCTCTGGAATCGGATAGGCAGAGTAAACTGATTTTTAGACAAATCACATTGATGGTTGGCTTGAG